GGGACTGGTAGGGAATTTTGAATGGAAACACATGAACATTTTGGATAACAAACGTGCTCAGAGTTAGAGAAGACGATCCATGCTGCTGTTATATCTGTTAGTGTTGCAGGGATGCACTTTGACCATCTACAGATTGCATTAACTCTCCACAACAAAAGAACTTCATCACACTGGCTTAAAATTATGTTCCAATAATGATCTTGTGGAACTGAATCCTCGCTTTTAATAAAAAATAAAGCTGCCTTTCATTTAACAGCCAACTCGACCGGGTCGTGGCTGGCTTGTGATGCCTTTTGGGAAGAATCCATGGTGGGTGTATCTGGCCAGCTTTGTGCCCGCCCTGCTTGTCACCATCCTCATCTTCATGGATCAGCAGATCAGCGCTGTCATTGTTAACCGCAAGGAGAACAAACTTAAGGTAGGTGTGCAACCAGTCAAATCAACATCAAAAGCCAAAGTAACAGCCACGAAACAGCGCTATAAATTCAGACAGAAGCCTATCAACTCACAGCCTGCCCCTTATGAGGTTGCTTTTTATAGAAATGATCTTTGTTTGCCCTGCAGAAAGGCTGTGGCTATCACTTGGATCTGTTCTGGGTTGGAGTCCTGATGGCCACATGCTCCTTCTTGGGTCTGCCCTGGTACGTGGCTGCCACCGTCATCTCTATTGCTCACATCGACTCTCTGAAGATGGAGAGTGAATCGAGTGCTCCAGGAGAGCAGCCGCAGTTCCTCGGGGTCAGGTCGGTCCACAGTAGCGTAAAAACAGTGCAGTTTGTCAAATAGGCCGCCACTACCAACATCACAGAGCTACAGAACCACTGTCCTAAATCCTTTGTAGCTGACGTAGACAATTGCATTGTGAAACTGACTTGACGCTCTCTTGTGTCCCATCAATGTCAAACATACAGAGAACAAAGAGTGACAGGCATACTGGTGTTCGTTCTCACTGGAGTCTCCATCTTCCTTGCGCCTGTACTTAAGGTATGAGGTGCATAATGGATGTTTTTATTTTTGTTTTTGTAATTGCTATATGAGGCTTTTTTTCTTTGCTGTTTCCTCAAGATTTGTTCTTATTATCTGCAAAACTCAAGATGCTCACTACTTTTCCGTACAGGGCAAGAAATTCTTTCTGAAAATATGTGCAATAAATTGGGATTATGAAATAACAATGTGCAATATATAAATTAAAAAATTTATGAATCAATAAATTATGTTAAACAAATTTCAGGTACCCACATTTTGAAGCCTCCATATTAGTTTTTCAGTTACCCTGTTTGGGTGGTTATTAGCTTGGTTAGAGCTGTGTCTACAAACTCTACACATCTACACTCATTTTTGCTAAGAGTCAGAATTTCACTCTCATTGTGATGCTGTGAACTCTCTTAATTATGGCCAACATGTACCTTCACTTGCAGTTCATCCCCATGCCTGTGCTGTACGGTGTCTTCCTCTACATGGGTGTAGCATCTCTCAGTGGAATCCAGGTACCATGCGTATGCCAGCTGGTGTTATTTATGATTTGAGGAATTTGTGGCTGGGCAGCTTACTTATTGAGTTACAGACAGCAGATGTGAAGTGGCTTATTTAAAGCTTTTAAGCAAAAAAATGTAACAATAACAACCAACAGGTATGCTGATACCATTATGTCCATATAGACCGCAAAGATGAAAAAAATCAAAAAGAAAAGAAAAAGGTTTTCATTTCGACACAATGTGTGAAACAACAAAAAATAAACTGCACAAGTCTGCTCTAAATAATTTAAGCACTCGTGATCGTTGTAAGTTTATTTGTATTTAACATAAATTCCTGCCCCTCAACCCTCTTGTTGTCATTGCCTTCCACAGTTCTGGGATAGGATAAAGTTGTACATGATGCCTTCCAAGCACCAACCTGACTACACCTACCTGCGTCATGTTCCTCTCAGAAGGGTACACCTGTTCACTCTGATCCAGATTATATGTCTGGCTGTGCTCTGGGTCCTCAAGTCCACCTTCTTGGCAATCATATTTCCCGTTATGGTAAGTGTGATGAAATACTCCCTTGTGCACCACAAATTATAAATCCTGTGTTGTGAGATGGATGGAGCTGAGAGACAAGTGTTTTGAAATGGAAGAAACACAGATGCTGCTGCTAAAACTACAGGGTGGGCCATTTATATGGTTACACCGCAATAACATGGGAATGGTTGGTGATATTAAAGTCCTGTTTGTGGCACATTAGTATATGTGAGGGGGCAAACTCCTCAAGATGGTTGGTGACCATGGTGG